TCCATTCCATTCCATTCCATTCCATTCCATTCCATTCCATTCCATTCTGTTCAAAGGCAGCAGCATGGTTTTAGGATTAGCAGACTGCTGGACAAAGTATCTAGTTGAAATGTATATGGACCTCTCCTCTGCCTTCTAGGTCTAGCTTGCTGTGGTACAACTTAGACTGGTAAACAAAGATCTAAGAGATTAATTATACTAATTCCAGCTCTCTGTGGCCCACAACAGATCAGCACTTTCATCCAGGATTAAGTCTTGGATAATAGATGCTTTATCAATAATTGCTCTGGCAATCCTTTTTCAACAGCCTCCTAGCTTGCCAATATTCCTTTCGGATCACATTGGAGAGCTTTCATTTAGTTAGGCTTGATGTGCTTCCTTTCATCCCTTTCCAAGCACTTCTCTGCCCCTGCCGATTGGGGAAGCCAAATCAGTTATTCATTTTTTCCTGCATTGGCCATTTCATCCACTTGACTCAAGGACTTGATTTTGCCTTTATTAACCAAGTACCAACAGGAATTCGGAAGACAATTTTTAACTTTTTAGCTGACATTTAGTTGACTTTTTGGAGCATTATTGCATGGCTGTAATTGTAATTATTGTAATTAAGTATATGCTTAAATAGCAATAGCACTTAGACTTATATACTGCTTTACAGCCCTCTCTAAGCAGTTTACAGAGTCAGCATACTGCCCCCAACAAATCTGGGTCCTCATTTTACTGACCTTGGAAGGATGGACGGATGAGTCAACCTTGAGCCTGGTGAGATTTGATCTACCAAATTGCAGGCATCTGGCTGCAATCGATATCTGTCCCACAACTTATCTCTCATTACAAAGAAGCAGGATTTCCAAGTTAGATGGGGTCATCGTCACTGCCACCTTTAATTAATTGCAATTTAGTTGTGTGTAAGGTTAGGAATGCCTTCCTTTAAGGTTCCTATCTTTTCCTCTCCTGCCAGTTACTAGCATAATTCACTACCAGTTTTCATGACCTGCTCTTTCTGACTTTCCTGGCACACCTTTTAATATCAGACCACAACTAACCAACAGTCCTGATTCCACCCCGCAAGCAGAACCCACAAAGACATAAACAATGCTTTATGTCTTCCTTGGTAGAATTTTGCAATTATAAAACAAAGGGAGAAATTCTTTGTTCTCACCATCACATGTTTTTTGCAGAATAGTTTATGTAATCAGAATTATAGGAAACTTGTTCTGGTTTGATTTAAATAATAATTACAGAGAGAAGAATTTGAAATAAATCCACGCTCAGTATTACTAAGTAATTTGTGTTTTGATGAAATAAAGGAATACAAAAGAGGGTTTATTTTATTTTATCTTTTTAAGTACCATGTCAGAAAGTTTTGAGAGAGAGGGAGAGAGGGAGAGAGAGAGAGAGAGAGAGAGAGGCTGCGCTGCCCACATGGCCCGTGAGAACCCTCCCCACCCACTCACTCCTTACCCAGCAAACTTGCCTGCTAAATTGCTATTTTTCCTTTTTTCCGACCATCATCTGTTCTGCTTTGCCAGAGATTTAGATTAGCTAGGAAGCAGGAAATGATTGGATTTCTTGCTTTCTAGCTAGTCTTTAGATCTTCGGCTCTGCTTTTAAGCACAGCCAAACCTCCCTTAGGACTGAAGGTTCTATTATTCAGTGCAGACTCATGGGAAGCAAATTTGAGAGACTGAGCTAGCCAATGGCAGATAGATAGATCACTGAATGATTCTGTGAGCAACTCAATCTGCCTGCTTGCTTTGCCTGATTTTGGGTAAAAGTTGCTCTTTTTTAAATAAATATTCATAACATTTACATACAAGCCATGCCCAGCCAGTCACATGACTACCAAGCCACACCCACAAATTAGGCCATGCCCACAGAACCGGTTAGTGGTCCCTGGGATTTAAAATTATGAGTTTGGTGGTCACTGAGGTCCAAAATGTTGGCAACCTCTGCCCTAGGTAACATCTTCTTGCTTCAGATGAACTGTCAAGTTGCTATTTCAATTAATTCCTGCAATTGGTTTCCTTTTCAAAGGTTGAATTGACATCTCTTGGACATGTGGACATAGTACTTCAAATTCTGTTAATCTGTGACATATCAAAGGCAGAGTAATATAAAAATGCATCTGTTACTGCACAGGACAGATCATGACTAATAAGTAAAGAATGGCAATGACATTTTCACTTACTCTATGTCATGTTAGATTTAGAAAATGTAAGCATTTCAAGAGTGCTGGAAAAAATTACATTGAAGATTGCACTGAAGCTTATCATTGTCTTTTTGACTCTAATTTAGCTTTCTTCAATCTGGTGGCACCCGGATATATTGGAGTTCAAATCTGATATTTTCCAGTTATTGCATTAAGCTGGCTAGCAATGATGGGACTTAAAATCCAAACAGCTGAAAGACATATAACTAAGGCATGCTATTTTTAAATTTTGCCCTTCCCCTTTCCAATATTCTGCACTACGTGGGCTTTTTTTTTTCTTTAATTCACTTGATTCTTCAGCTTTCTGTTTTCTTCCTTCCTTCATTCTTTCTTATATTCATATTTTTTATGTTGCACTTTCTCTACTCTTCAAAGTTTTGGCAGTCTTTAAGATCTGCCTTCTGACTTTTCTTGAGTTGTGTGTGCAAAATATATGTTATGGTTAGTAACAGTAGTTACTAAGATAATTTGTAGTTACTAAGATAATACAAATTAAAACAAACATACCGTATTATATGAGACACAGCAAAGCAGGTATACTATCAGCTATTATGTAACATTGATCACTAACTAAGAGCAACTTTGTGATATTAGCTATCATTTCAATATCAGTTACACTCATCCCATTTAGAAGTTCAGTTTCCCAGGAATGGAATTCACACCCTTTATCCCATTTCACTTTTTCCTGCTCCCAGTGAGGGACAAGAAAATTTGCAACTCCATTCATCCAACTCACGGCTTTCAAAAATATCAAGACACATCTCTTCAATTCAGCCTTTAAGTGGCTTTTGCTCGCTTTAATGTTTAGTATGGTGCTAGTTCAAACTTTTAAATGCAAAGTATTGCGTTTATCCACTTTGTTATTCAGCCTGAATAAGGGAGACTGAAAAGATGTACCACAGAAAAGACAATTGATAGTCTTTGTGGCAAGTCTTATGACAGACATTAGCTAGTAGACATTAGCAGGTGTTTTCTTTTTTGTCCATAAAATAAAGCAGTTACTTTTTTTTTTCATTTGGTTAGGAACCTACTTCAATAAGATAAACTTCTTGACCTACCTGGAATTACATTGTCTGTTTCCTCTTGTCAAGAAAAAGAGCATCTTATCAGCTTCCTGTCCTTTAACACTTGCTTAATTCTGGATGACCAGTGCTAAAAATGGAATTTTTTTTCCTCCCTAACCTTTTGCAATACCTGGAAAGCAGGAGTGGGAATTAAGGAAATACTGACAGGTTTGCTCCCCTGTTTGGCATCTTCAAACTAATTGAAGTTGTTAGCTAGGAGTCTAGGGTGCAATCCATGTTGAAAGCTGAGTACCAAGACTCATGCAAACAAATCAGGAATGGTTAATAATGAAGTTACAGTTTGGCAGTGTTCACCTTGACAAAGTTGGCCTGCGTGCGCAGCGCGTGCGCGCGCGCACACACACACACACACACACACACACACACACCACAAAAGGAATATTAGCTTGTTTCTCCTGCCTTATGGATCAGTTCTGGAAATCCCTACCCCCTTGAAGCCTGCAGGTGATTGTCCTCTGGCAATAGCACAGCTGGAATTCTGTTCTTTCAGATTCCCATCTATATGCTTCTCATTTGGAAACAGTGTCTACTACTCCGTGTGTTCTACTGTATTTAATTGTGGGTTTTTGCTTAGTTGTGCCTTCCTTTCCTTTTACCACTCCTCCCACAAATGCATGTATTGTGGTTTTTGTGAAGTTCCTTGACTGCCAGAAGCAGGAAAAAAACGCTTTTTCAATACTAGTAATCAATGCTATTGTTCTTACTGTTGTCATCCTATATTTTAGTCAGGAGAAAAAGAGTTTTAATTATTCAGAAATATGGGGTATATGCAGGCATTTCAGAAATGATCACTCAGAAGATCCAGAATATTGCTAAGAGTGAGACAGCAGGGTCAATTAAGTAGGCAACCTGGGGGATGGTTTCCAAACAGCTCAAGGAGACCCTTTTACTTTGTAGTTCTTGGAAGAGCCAAGTAAGCTACATAGTCTTTGCAACCCACTCATACATCACCAAGTAAAGGAGAAGTCGTGATCTTGCAGTCTACATGCATGGATGTGAAGAATATATACTTTAATACATGCAACACCTCTAGGCTACACTTGGTTGCAGCATTAGAGACCGAACCCTTGTCTCAGAATGCTTTTTGAGCAATGTATGCTGGAAAGAGAAAATTGCGACACTTATTTGCATTCTAATAACTTCCCATTTGGTTTATCACAGCATGATATGATGGGCTGACTTGCAGATGGTCCACAAACCAGAGCATGTATACCAGGGGTGTCAAACTCAAGGCCCGCAGGCTGGATTCAGCCCACGTGGTGCTTAGAACTGGCCCACGGGGTCACCTTGGAAACAGCAAAGGACCGGCCCACAGTGCCTCTGCCAGCAAAAATGGAGCTCGGTAAGGTTTTCACTGGCAGAGGGTTGCAGGAGGCAACTGTTGTGGCCATTAGTGGAACTCAGGAGCACATTTTCACTGGAAGAGCTCTCAGGTCACCACAGACACCCCTGACATGAATGACGATCTGGCCACACCCAGCCCCGGCCACATACACCTCACTCCCCCAAGGTCAAACACAACCCTGATGCGGCCCTGAATGAAATCGAGTTTGACATCCCTGAAGTAGACGTAGACAGAGGAAGGCATAGATAAGTAGTTTGTTTTCTCTATATCTCCACAAATGTTTAGACAATTTTTCTCCCATTGGTATGGAGAAAAATAATAGGTTCACACTGAGATACAAGTCAGTGACTTGCTACACGAACCCATGCACCTGTTTCAAGTAGCCTCTTCCAGATGGCTCTAATGTATGTTCTGGCTATTAGTGAAAATGAGAATTAAAATCCCTTGGAGGAATTGTTCAACTAAAAAAATTGTTCCCATATATTGGCTCTATATGCTAGTTCCAGCACCATCCAGAAATTGTGACATCAAAAAGACAAAGAATAAAGAGCTGCCATAATCATTATGAACAATCATAACTTCGATCTGCCGTTTTCTATTGTAATATCTGAGGTGCCAATAAGTAAGAATCATTTATCCTCTACTATTTACCAAGTGGTAAATATTCTCTATTGATTCTTTCTCAAACATTTATACATTAAAGTATTAGGAGTATGGCTGGCATTCATCGTAGTATATACTGTCTACTAGTGTTTTTTGTGCAACTATTTCTTACTCACCACTAGGGTTTTGTTTTAATGGTACAGAACACAAACACAAAGATTGCACTTCCCGTACTAAACTGTTTTCTCATGCAAACTTAATTTCCTATCTTATTCTATTAGCTTCCTATTACCATAAGTTTACAATTATTCTACTTCTATTCTTATTTAATCTATACTATTTCCATCTCTTATATTCTATTTCCATGTCCCTATTTCTATATTAACATTGCTTTCTCCTCTTAACTATTTCTTCTTTAAATCTCTCTCTCTCACACACATACACCCCAGATCTTCAGCTCTGATACCCAATCTCAGTCCATGGGCATGTAAAACCTTTTTGCTCCTTTTCAGACTTTGGAATGGGCTTTTCTCCCTCAGTCCCAGCCCTCCCAACCCTAATTCTGGACCTAGTTTGCGGCTAAGTTGCTGCAGGCAAGTAAGCTCAGCTTGAAGACTGATAAGACTCAGCTTGGTTTTGAAGACCAGTTGGGTTCTTTTCCTCCCCGTTTTTCAGCTCTGCCTCTCAGTGGTCTTGCAGGTCCAAAAATTGATCCTTTCTCTTGTTATCTGAAAACTGCTGCCCAGTTGCTTCCCCTTCAGTTGGAGTTTCTTTTCCTCTTATGACTCTTTCTCAACACTGACATACCTGCTTGTTTTCAATTCCTTTTTTTTTTGTAAAACTCTCCAGTGAAGGAGCAGGTAGGCCTGTTTTGACCCCCGTTCCCAGGAAGCACCCAAAGCTCAGGACCCCAGAAGAAAAAAATAATAATACCTGCTCACTCCAGGTGGTGAGTTCACTTTTCCACATTCACACAACATAAAAAGAGGGTCAAATTCCCCATCCCAGCCACTTGGTAAGATGAATGCAGATGATGCTGTGGCAGTTTGATATATTGGTGATGGCAAAAGGTGGATGGTTTGTTTGTTTTTTTTCTTGCTGTGATAAATTAAGATGGCATGGCCCAAAACGAATACTTATGTATTTTTCAATGTCTGCTGGCTCTGTAGAGTTAATAAACTTTGTAGCGGAGATATTATGTTGAGACAAGATTTTAATGATATATGAAGTCTATGCAGAGGTATTTTGCTTCTGAATAATTTCTTGAGGTCAGGAGTCATGCAGGATTTATCATTTGAAGCGCTTTGTGCTCACAAACAACTGGAACACTTCATAAATACAGAAGGAAGCCTCGGTGTTATGCTTGCCTGGCATGCCAACTCCGAGAAGAAAGGTCAGCAGTCAGGAGAGAAAGGGGAGAAGAGAAAGTTCAGAGGAAAGGATGCTTGTTACCATAGCTACAGACTCGACTGTTTTTTTTTTTCCAGCACTGGGGTAGGTCAACTCACGTGACGCTGGTAAGGGGATTGCACCTGTAATGCTCTTTTGAGATACTGTGTATCTTTGGTGAACAGTCAGGACTGGGCTGTTAATCACTACAAGTTTTAAAGTGCCTTGCCTGTCTTTTGACTCTGGTTTTATAATCACTCCCAATTAAATACATTTTTTAAAGATTAATTGAGATAGTGCCGAACTGAATATTTCTGATGCACAGAAAGCTGTAAAAAATTGCGATTAAGGTTCTAATAATAACAATAAGAACTGCAAGAACGTAAGATTGGAAGCGGTTTTTGCAATATTGATGGCCCATAAAATGGATTTTTTCCCCCCTCCTCTGGAAAGGAAAATCCATTGCACTGAAATAGAGGTTATTACTTAGTAAGGGATAAAGAAGTGTGACTAGAAAGTGGCAACGGTCCAAGGGTGTGACGGGTGGGGAGAAACTGTTCTTGAATATTTTGCACAATCTGGGCTGATTTCAGATTTCTGCATATTTTGGCTTGGCTTAACTTGTGGTCCACTACTCTTCCCAGAGATGCGAAAGTTTAAAAATCTGAAGGGGGAAGATGAATTCTAGTGCACCCCAAGGATAATTAGGATAAAGGATAATAAGCCACATCCTTGAAAAATAATGTATTGCTTTTTATTGAAACAAATGGAATGTAAAGGAAAAAAAACAGAATGAGAAATGAGGTTAAACAAAGAATAAAAGCAAACAAAGACACTTTGGGAGAGAGAAATATAATATATTGAAACAATTATATTCAGTAATTTACTCAGACATTTGTACAGAATATTAATGTAGCTAATTAATTGAGAGGATATTTAAATGCATCTACGCTTAATTAAAGGTTCTTCAAAGCTCTTTTCTGCACTTTTAGATAGCATTTATGCAAATAAAGTTTTTCAGTTTTCTATTGTTTGGTTTGACATAGTACATCTGACACTAATTGTAACCTCTGTCTTGTGCTGCAGCAATTAATAAATTGTAGGAAAAATAGCCAATGAACATTGGTAGGCTTAACAGTCAAACATCTTTCAGTACCATGGACAGGGCTGGTTGCTCATATACCTGTTTCTAAACAGTTACTCCAGCAACAAAATTTGAAGTATCTTTGTGTTTAGTATAAATTGCATGAGACTATACAAACATCACATGGTAAATTATTTCAATCTGATTTAGTTCACCAATTTACTTTCTTTCCATAATTTCCCTCTTGATTATTATCTTTGCTGCTTGGTTTCCTCCTTCTTTTAATCCTGCTGTTATAGGTAGTCCTCAACGTACGATGACAATTGAGCCCAGAATATATGTTGCTAAGTGAGGAATTTGTTAGGTGAGCTTTGCCCCATTTTACAACCTTTCTTGCCACATTTGTTCAAGTGAATCACTGTGGTAATTAAATTAGTAGCACAGTTGTTGGGTGGATCTGGTTTCCCCATTGGCTTTGCTTGTCAGAAGGTCACTGTGCTGTCCCAGCCAGTCTATGGGAGTTGGATAGTTACTTAGGAATTATGAGCTGTCCCCTTAAGGGAATGCATCATGATAAATGTAGTTAAAGGTATCCTGGGAAATGTCACGTGGCCACATCCGTAATCCTGATTGGTCACTAAATTGACCCTTGAGGGGTTGAGGGAGGTTTCCCTCCATTATAGCCTGGACTCATGAACTGATAACAGCTTTTCTATCACTACGAGATGGGTTAGGAAAATAACCATCTTTTACCTGCAATGCTGATATACAAAGGATTGGTCATTATAGAAGAGCTTCATCACAAATGTGAGTTATGAAGATACCTGATGTACCAATAAATGTACTTTGTTATGGATGTTTTGTGGAATTATCTATCTGCATCTGCACAGCCACAAATCCACCTCTGTGCATGAGACAGGACAGGATAGTCGCAAAAGGGCATCGCATGACCCAGGGACACAGCAACGGTCATAAATATAAACCAGTTTTCAAGCATCCAAATGTAAATCACGTGACCATGGGGAAGCTATACTGGTGAAAAATGATCACTTTTTTCAGTGCCGTTGTACCTTCGAATGATCACTGAAAGAACCGTTTGTAAGTTGAAGACTACCTGTATTTTTCATCCCTCTTATCTATAGGAATTTAGGTTTGTTTCTTGGAAATCCTTCTGTATATTGATAATGCTTTAGAGCAGGGGTGTCAAACTCATGGCGTCATGACGGCGTCACATGGAGCATTGGCATATTTTCCCCTTTGCTAAACTGGGTGGGGGTGGGACCAGCACATGACACATCTGGCCCATGGGCCACAAATTTGACACTTCTACTTTAGAAGATATGGTCAATAAAGTTTTGTGGCATCAGTAGAAAAATAACAGTTCTGTAAACATAATTACATCCACACATATAATATAATTGTTGATTTAGTAAAGTAGAGAAGATGAAAAAATTGGTAGGCTATGGTCAAGATGTATCAAGAATTATGAAATGTTACAGGGTTTGTGTGCATCTGTTCAGCTGGTATTGGCATAGTTTTCCATATATTTTTCCATGTTCCAATTGGCCACGAATAGCCTCACAACAATAAGGGAAATGCTGAAAAAAAGATTGAAATTGGAAAAGTGCTTAGACCAGAAGTAATAGTGGAGGATTGTAAAAAGTAATTAAAATAGTTTTTTTTTAAAATAATCTTAATAAACATATAGATGTAAGAATGGTTTGGGATACAATCAAAGCTTTCGCGAGATGTTATTTTATATAGCATAATAGTAAACTGAAAAAGAAGAGAGGAGAAAAAAGTAATTTTGAACAAGATAAAAAAAGGAGAAAGGATTAAATATTTCATAGAAGATAAATATTACTCAACAAATTAAGCTTCTACAGCAACAATAATCTATATTAACACTAAGATGAATTATAAAAAATGAAAAAAATGAATTTGCAAATAAAGCAGGAAAGTGATTAATAGACAAATTACAAAAAGAAAGAAGAAAATGCTACTGAAATTGCAAGTGGATTATATCATAATAACAGATAATTTGGTTTCTTAACTATAAATACTTTGAGGATGAACTTTTGCAACTTTTACAAATATTATGAACTCTATTTTATAGAGGGGAAAGGTTGCAGTCAACTGGAAAGAGGCTAATGTAGTATTAATATCTAAGAAGAGACAAGATTTGACTTATTAGCCAATGTAATTATTGAATAATGACTGTAAGTTGTTTACAATGATTTTGATTGAGAGGTTGAAAATAATTTTGCAATTTATGAAGATCAATGTGGGTGTTTAACTCACTTTATATTTAAAGGATAATATAAGAAATCTGATGGACATTTTGGAATACTTTGAGCAACACAATGAAAAATAAGCCACATTGATTTTCTTAGATGCAGAAAAGGCCTTTGACAATTTGAAATAAACTGCTTAAAATTATGAAAAATGTGTATTTTGGCAAGTTTTTTATACTGATAAGATTGATCTATTTTTCACAGAAAGCACAAATAACTATCAATGGAGATCTAAAAATACTTTATGAGATATAAAAGGAAACAAGACAGAGATAACCATTCTCTTTTCCTGTTTATTTTAGTTCTTGAAATATTTGAATATAAGACAAAATGAGGGAATTGTGGAAGTAAACATTTAAAAAGAAACTTGTAAGTCGAGGGCACTTGCCCGCTGCCTGTCACTATAGGCAAGCCACAGCAGGATCCATTTTTTTTGTCATTTATAAGGTGAAGTACATAGTACCAATGCCCTGAGGCACTTTGATTCCCTTCCAATTCTGGAAAAATAAAACTTTATCCACCCTGCTCATCAATCCCATGTTGCTAAAACTGTTTCTTTTCCTGAACATATGTGCATTTCTTTCCTCTTTATACAAGACAAGTGTTCCAGGAAAGAAAAAAGCATTAATGAAATAAATTAAAACATAGGATAAAATATATGCTAGTACACACAAAAGCTGAAATGCTTGTGTTTACATCATAGTAGAAGAGATTGACAGATGCCAGCTGAAGGTTTATGCTTTTCTGCAATATGAGCAAATAAGTGAAAAACATTGATGTTTTCATCCAGGTTTTGGCTTTTGGGGAGGGAAAATAATGATTGTTGCATATGTCTCTTCCAAGCTGGATTGATAGCGATGAGTGCCACAAAAGCACACATTGATTTCCTGCCCTTGATCAATGTATTTTATATTGTTATTTTTTATCTACTGAAATCTTGAATTGTTTCTAGAGAAGTGTTGTAGATCGAACAATGAGAGGCTAGACCAGGGCATTAAAGCAACAAGACTTTATTCAGTGAATAAAGGACTGAACATGTCAGCGCTGCTGGGAGCAGGCTTCCAATGAACAGCGGCTGACCTGACCCTGCAGCTGGCTTTTATAGCCGGCTGCTCAGGTGAGTCAGCCAATGAGGAGCAGTCAACGCCCCTACAGTAAGAACGGACCTGGTTGGGAACTTTGGTAAGTTCCAGGGACATAACACCCCTTCCCCCCAGATGCGAACATGCATAGTCATTTAAATAAGCGGGTGGTCTGTGCTGGCGCCCCGAGCGCCGTAACTCGTGCGAGCTGTCGGGTGACCCAGCGTTCGAAGGTGCGGGTAGGGTTGGTGATGGAGTGTGGTCTTGCTCGGGGGCCTGCGTTGGTGCCGGTGTCGAGTTTCCGGTCTGCGATGCCATGGTCCCATTAGGTGGCACGGGTGGCGGATTCACCGGGCAGTCTCGGTCTGTAGCCCATTCTCCCGGCTCGGGTGGTGACGGCGACAAATCCCTGGGATGGTCTCTGATGAGTGACTGGTGTGGCGCCTGGGAGCCGACCTGTGCCCATGGTCCCACACTGGTGTGGGTACCTTGGCGCTTCCTGAGCTGGTCCAGGTGTCTCCTCCAGATGCGGCCGTCTTCCAGCTGGACTCGGTACGACCTGGGACCGGTGATGGCCACGATCTCCCCTGGTATCCACAGTGGGTCTCCAGCGTAGTTCCTTGCAAAGACACGTTCCTGCAAGACAAAATCTCTGACCCCTGCTATTGAACCAAGAGGGGTGTCAGGGCAATAGTGAGGGTGTAGCCTATCCAACACGGTTCTTAGGCGCCTACCCATCAGGAGTTCAGCCGGTGACTTGTTGGTGACCGTGCATGGGGTTGAGTGTTGGCTCAATAAGAAGCGGGAGAGTCTGTGGTGCCAGTCCTCTTTGTTGAATCTGGCTAGCGCTTCTTTCGTGGACCTAACGGCTCTCTCTGCCAATCCGTTGCTGGCAGGGTGGAAGGGTGCCGTGAGGATGTGTCGAATGCCCAGGTTGGTGGTGAAATGGCTGAATTCCGTTGAGGCAAATTGGGGACCATTGTCTGAGACTATCATGTCCGGCAGACCGTGTGTCACGAATAGCCGGGTCAAGGCCTTAGTAACTCCTTGCGTGGTGGTGGTGGATAGTTGGGCCACATCGATCCACTTGGAGTATGAATCTACAACCACCAAGAAGGTTCTACCTTGCATTGGCCCGGCTAGGTTGATGTGAAGCCTGGACCATGGTGCGTTGGCGCTCTCCCACTTGGTGGGAGTGGTGACTGGAGGGGCTGGTCTGGATTCCTGACAGGGCTGGCAAGAGCTTACCCACTTGACGATGTCGTCATCCAGGCCGGGCCACCAGACGTAACTTCGAGCTAACGCCTTCATCCGGACGATGCCCGGGTGTCCCTCGTGCAGTGCCTCTAGGACTGGCGTGCGCAGTGCGGCCGGGATAATGACTCTGGTGCCCCACAACAGGCAGCCCTGTAAGCTAGATAGTTCCTGTTGACGGGTCTTAAAAGGTGTGAATTCGGTTTCAAGGTTAGTGCCCGGCCACCCCCTCCTCACCCAGTCCAGTACCTGGGCGATTGTTCTGTCAGCCTTAGACTTTGTGGCGATGTCGAGGGCGGTGACGGGAAGGTTGATCTCGGTGACATCAAAGATGGCGTGGACAGGGGCTGGGTCCTCAGCTGGAGCTGGCAGGGGGCAGCGGCTGAGGGCATCAGCGTGGCTCAAAGTTTTCCCTGGGCGGTGGATGAGTTTGTACGAGTATGCCGCCAGGAATAAGGTCCATCTCGTCATCCTGGGGGACAACACTTGGGGGGTCTGCTTGTCTCCAGAAAGCAGGCCCAGGAGCGGTTTATGGTCTGTGATGAGTTCGAAGTCGTGGCCGAAAAGGAATTCATGAAATTTCTTTACCGCTGCGACTGCGGCTAAAGCCTCCTTATCAATTTGGCTGTAATTACGCTCTGTTGCTGAGAGTGTTCTGGAGAAGAAGGCGATTGGTGCCTCGGAGCCGTTGGGTAGTCTGTGGCTTAATACAGCTCCAATCCCATAAGGGGACGCATCTGCTGCTAATACTAAGGGAAGTCGTGGATCAAATTGTATGACGACAGCGTCTGATGTGAGTAGCGATTTGACTGCGTGAAATGCGGTGTCTTCCTTGTGCCCCCAGTGCCATGGTGATTTTTTATCTAAAAGCCTGTGTAAGGGCTCTGCTATTGAGGCTTTGTGCGGTAGAAACGATGCATAGAAATTTAATAATCCCAAAAAGGCTTGTAGCTCGGCTTTAGAGGTTGGAGTGGGTGCCTCATGGATTGCCTTGACTTTGGATTCTAGGGGGTGGATACCTGATGCGTCAATTCTATAGCCTAGAAAGTCCACCTGTCTAGTGGCAATGGCACATTTTTCCTTTTTTAACTTGAGACCATGCTGTCTGAACCTGTCTAGAACTGCTCTGACTCTCTGGAAAAGTTGGGGTCTGTCCCTGGCCGAGACCAATATATCGTCGAAGTAGGGTACCACGCCAGGGAGGCCCTGTAGGATACATTCCATCAGGGACTGAAATATGCCTGGGGCAACACTTACGCCAAATTGGAGACGCTTGCACCTGAATGCACCCCTGTGGGTTACAATGGTTTGTAATTCGGCTGTTTGGTTGTCAACAGGAAACTGTTGATACGCTTGCGACATGTCCAATTTGGCAAAAATGGTACCAGGCTCAAAAGTGTGCAGTAAATGCTGAATGACTGGGACTGGGTAAGCGCTAACTTGTAGAAAACGGTTAATTGTTGTTTTGTAATCAGAACAAATTCTCAGACTGCCATCCTTCTTAAGGGGTGTGACAATTGGTGTCTCCCATTTGGCGAAGTCTGTGGGTTCAATGACTCCTTGCTTTAGCAGTTTGTCAAGTTCCACGTCCAGCTTAGGCCGAATGGCGAATGGTACCCTACGTGGCTTCAGCCGCACGGGAACTGCTTGAGGGTCTACTGAAAATGAGATGGGGGTTCCGTTATAACACCCTAACTCATTGCTGAATACGTCGGAGTAGTCAGTGAATAATGAGTCAGTGTCAGAGGTCGAGACAGCATGGACCCCTGTTACCCCAAGGCCGAGATGGGGGAACCAATCAAGCCCCAGGAGACTGGGGAGGTTGCCGTTAACTACCACTAGAGGCAGATGGCCTTTGAAAGCCTTAAAATTAACAAGGAACTTGCCTTTGCCAAGCACCGGGATGTCCTTCCCCTGGTAGTCCCTCAAGGTGAGTTGGCACTTCTGGAGCTGGTTTCTGGATAGTGTGGGCTGGATCTTCTTGAGTGTGTTCCACGAAATGATTGAGAGCGCTGACCCCGTGTCAACCTCCATGCGGCACGGTTTACCTTCTAAAAAAATGGAAAGTGTGATTTTGCTGATAGAATGACAGGTGTGGTTAGCATAGAAACAAGTGCGACAATTTAGTACTTGCCTTTGTGAGCCAGGATGGGAAAAAGGCGGATACCTTGGTGCTGGGTTGTGCGCAGCCTGGCAGACTCTGGCGATGTGGCCTTTCTTGTGGCAATTGTTACACGTGGCACTCTTGAACCTGCATGATGCTCTCGCGTGAGGTCCGCCACAGGACAGGCACAAGGTGATGTGCTTGGGCGCTCCGCTGCTTTCCTGTCTGATGGCCGCCTATGATTGTTTGGCTTGGGCGAGGCGGTGGACGTCTGTCTGATCGCTGGGGTCATCTTCGTTGATTACCACTTCCGAGTGGATGGTGGCACAGCTGGGCTTGGAGACTGGGCCTTGGATTTCTGCAGCTGACTGGGTTGCTAGTTCTGCAGCCAAGGCTTCCTCGATGGCCTGGGTGAGGTTAAGGTCCTTCCTGGCTAGCAGCCGCCTTTGGAGATGAAGGTCCTTGACCCCGCAGACGAGCTGGTCGAGGAGCATGTTATCTAAGTAGTCCCTGAACTCGCATTGGAGAGCGGCGGTCCTCAGGGCAGCCATGTACTGGTTGATGGTTTCCCCTCCAGTTTGCTTTCTCATCCGGAATGCGAAGCGTCTGGCGATCTGTGACGGCTTGGGGGAGTAATGATTGGTGAGGGTTTCCAGCAACTCTGCCCAGGGCACATTCTTTAACTCACGTGGTGCGACGAGTGCTGTGGCGGTATCAAAGACTGTGGCTCCACAGTAGCTGAGGAAGTATGACTTCTTCCTGTGCTCTCCTGCATCAGCCAGGCCAATGGCGTTGATGTAGTGGTTAAAACGATTTTTGTACGACTCCCACTTCTCTTCATCCGGCTTGAACGGTGGGAAAGCTGGATTGGAATTCATGTTGTGACTTCAATTGGTTTCAGGGCTGTAAATTCTCTCTGGGTGACAACCCTGTGTGCTCCAGGTGAGCGAGGCAGCTGCTGTTGCAGCGTTTTTTCGGGTTAGTGATAGGGCTGTTAAGTCTCTCTGGGAAGACAACCCTGTGTGCTCCTAGGTGAGCGTGGCTGCTGTGGCTACAGCGCTTGCCAGACTAGTGCTTCAGCTCTGGAGAGGCTCCACAGAACCTCTCTCTCTCTCTGGGTTAACGAACGTGGCTTGCTGCAACGGCCGTTGGCAGAGTTTTGAATTTCGCGCCTGCGTGGGCGTCAGTGACTTGGAGTAGCAGCACCGCGCTGTATTCCGGCAAGGAAATTCAAACGACAGCCGTTTGAATTTCGCGCTCTTTTTGTGCTGAGCGGCTGCGGCTCGCAGCGCTTCGCTTCCGGCTGCGGCTCGCAGCGTTTCACTTTCCCTGTAGCTTGCTAACCGAGCGGCTACAGACGCTCCTCACTTTTGCTTTACTTCGGCTGCGGCTCGCAGCGCTTCGCTTCCGGCTGCGGCTCGCAGCGTTTTCACTTTCCCTGTAGCTAGCTAACCGAGCGGCTACAGACGCTCCTTACTTTCGCTTTTGCTGGCCGAGCTCTCCAACGGCGCGGCTGCGGCTCAGCAATGGAGTGATTCTCAGCAATGGAGTGATTTCAGCTGTTGCTGCGTGCCTCTGGTAGCCATCCCACCCTCGTCGCCAGTGTTGTAGATCGAACAATGAGAGGCTAGACCAGGGCATTAAAGCAACAAGACTTTATTCAGTGAATAAAGGACTGAACATGTCAGCGCTGCTGGGAGCAGGCTTCCAATGAACAGCGGCTGACCTGACCCTGCAGCTGGCTTTTATAGCCGGCTGCTCAGGTGAGTCAGCCAATGAGGAGCAGTCAACGCCCCTACAGTAAGAACGGACCTGGTTGGGAACTTTGGTAAGTTCCAGGGACATAACAAGAAGCTTAACATAATAAGAACTATGATTTTCTTCATGAATGATAGTTAATAGGATTATTGCTCACTGAAACTCTGATAAAACAGAGGTGTCCCCAAAGAATAAATAAAAACTTGATATTTTGAGAAATACATTTTACATGCAGCTTTTTTTCTTTTGAATCATTAAAATACTAGATCCCAATTATGACATTTTTTTGGATACTGATTTGCTCATGGCAAATAAGAAGCAATGAATGGGAAAGATAAACAACATAATAATTTCATAATCTAGAAAGTTATATAAGGAAGCATGTATATTTAATAAATGTACGAGTCATATTTCAGATAATAAGCCCTCACAATGACCTAAATAGAAAATTAATGTTTAAATTACCAAGGCCTCAATCCAGCAAAAATATAAGCATGATTAAACTTCAGAGAGTTATATGGCCCATAGGTAGCACTTAAGTATAATATTGCAAACAGTTAAAAAAGAAAAGTAGTTCCAATATTTTCTGTAAGCCCCATTTTTGCAAAGAGAATGAACTTACCCTCCCCCTTATTCTGTTTCATTCAGATCTTATATCATATTAAAAAGCAAACCATAAAAATATGAGAAGAAAAATTTATTGGTTGTATTCTCTGCCATGCTTTGCAATATTATCACAGTTTCTTATAAGATTGAAAGTGATTTTTTTAATACAAGAAGAAACTGTTTTGTAAACAACGGACAAATGGCAGAAATCTTCACAGATAGGAAACAAGCAGATGTTGACTATAAAAGAGCTGAAAAGGGCCCAGAATTTAAATCTATGGGTTAACATACTGTATATACAGGGCAAGATTCTGGTGTGCTTTTTGATAATGCATTTCTTCCTCTTTTAAATTCCTACTTTTTTTGCAATAAATCTACAAATAAAACCTTGTGTCTGCCTGGGAGTGGAAATATAGAAAGTGTATCTCTGCTACAAAACCTGGATAATTCTGGTGAACAATTTATAGGATGAATGCAAATGTAGCCCTTGAAAAAGAAAAGAAACCATTTAATTTCCAAATCTAGCCCTTTTGCTATTGATTTTGCCCTTGTCCTCTTACTAGTATATTGGAGACTCACTGTACATCCATGTTTTCTTCCACAGAAGTGGCAGAAAGAAAGCTGACCATGGAGGAAGAGGAAGCCAAACGTATTGCAGAAATGGGAAAGCCAATACTGGGTGAACATCCAAAACTAGAGGTCATCATTGAAGAGTCCTATGAGTTCAAGGTCAGTGCTGTGTACTGAAGAGTTTTTATCAGGGAAGTGAGGGGAGGAAAAGCAGGAAAGGAACTAAACAGAAAAATGGGTTAGCAGAGTTTAAGCAGAAGAAAGGAAGAGAACCGAAAGGAAAAAGGAAGGGTACAATAGAAAAAGAGGATTTGCAAGGAATGCTAAGCTAAGGCCAAAGTCCAGGCTAAGTCCTGGGAGGGAAGAGAAAAACCAATGAGAAAATTAAATAAAATGAGGTCAGGGAAAGAGAGAGCAAATTTGAAAGACAATAATTAAGACATGTTTTCAAGAATACAGTCCTACTTTAACGATAAGAAAATGTTCGGAAGTTTCACCATTGATTTCTGAACACTGAAGAATGGAAAGTCCTACATCAAAAAGTGGGTTAGGTTGCTGCTTTGAATTATTTATTAAAAAAAATAAGGACAGGATAAAAAAGAATCTAATAAATAAATAATAAAATATTCATGCATTTAAGATACATAACTAAGAACCAACTAAACCAAATGTGATTGTTTCTAGCTAAAAGAATTATCATACTGCTACAGGTGAGAAATTAACAGGCAAATATGCTAAATTTTATTCTGCTGTTTTCAGATGCTAATCCTCAAATGACTCCAAGGTCAAATTGACATGCCCTTACATCTAGCTGAAACAGGTTTCTGTCTCTCTGAAGGTTGGTTGCCCTGGAAATTGTTTTTAGCAGCACGTCTGTCTCAATCCAGGTCAAGTTTGCTAAGACTCATAGAACACTGTAGAGGAATTTGAGCCTGCTAAGTTCACTCCATTATGAAAGGGATTTGCTGTATGAAGGGGAAATAATTTATCCATTGACAGAGTACATTGCAGGTTGAGAAAAAGACTAAGAAAGAACAATGGCATTTACTAAGGAGGGAGAAAGTTTTATATGAATAAAGAAGCAGAGGTGCCCTTTCTCTCAATGATGCAACTATGGCTTTTGGCGAACAACCTTGTCATAAAATGACTTCCTGACCTACTTACAGTTTGATGTTTATACCTTTCATTTCTTTTATTTACTCTTTCATGGACATTATCTGTGGCTTAACTTAGCTTCTTGCAGTTAATGCTTTCCCAAAAAGTTAAGACTACAATTACAAGGAAAGCTATAAGGAATGGAAATTCTGGGTCATGTGATCATAAAACCCTTGGAAGACACCTGCACGGAAAAGCTACCTAACACCTTCAGTCAGTCTCCGCATTGACTGAAAGATACTCCAAAGGAAGGCCTTTAGTAAAACCAGTATTCTTTGTGTTCTTCTAATTGACAGAGCACAGTGGACAAGCTCATCAAGAAGACAAACTTGGCGTTGGTTGTAGGAACTCATTCATGGAGAGACCAGTTCATAGAAGCCATCACTGTCAGTGCAGGTGAGACAGAGTGAATGCTTTGTTCTCAGCTGAGGAAACAATTGCCCAGAGGCAGAGGGGAATTCTAACATGAATTACTTTGGGAGTTTTTATGAAACTCTTGCTCCTCAATAGATGTTATGAACAGTGTTTAACTCAGTGGTAGTAATTCTACTGGTTTGGCCCGGTTCTGCCCAGCCGGTAGCAGCGATGAGCAGCAGAGATCAAACCGGTTCTCTCCACAGCTCTGCTGTTGGGCCCATCCGGCCATACTCACCTTTATCCTCTGCTTTTGAAGCGCAACTGCTTTGCGCAGCAGCTACTGAAGTGACTGGAAGAGTGCAGGCTTTGTAGGAGGTGAGTTGGAATGCCTCTGCGCCTGTGCAAAGTGCGTGTTTGGCATGTGTGCTCATGCGAAGTGTGTGCATGTGCACAAAGTGTGCCCACCAAGCCATGCCCACCAAAGCAGTGGTAAAAAAAAATTGAATCCCACCACTGGTTTAACTTGTTTGACTTTGGTTTGATTTTTTTTTGGGGGGGGGGATCAATGCATTGGATAGAAAATGAATATATATTAAGTCTGATAATAAAGAATTTTTGGTTAATTACTTGTTACTTAACAGCATGGTGTTCAAAAAAAAACCTCACTGAATGGTGAAATTTCCAGGAACTGTAAAATCACAATAAAAAGAAAATTTACTGTTTAAACAAGAAAAGTTTTTCACTGATTATTAGAAAGGAACTATTTTTAAAAAAAGTAATTCCTGTTACTATAATTTTCCAGAATCGGAGTAGGTAAAATTAATTCCTTTAATTCTCATTGCCAGTAATTAACATTAACCCCACACTAATAAAATTGTTCTTGACTGATCGGTTGGGTTTCATTTTGAGTAATCCAGCTGTTTTTACTTAATTAATGTAGTAAAATCTAACTAGCTGATTTATCTATTCAATTAAATTAGAATGCTTAATCCTTTGGATAGACTCTGGTAACTTTCATTTCAATGCATATCACAGAACCTGCCCCCTTAGTGATAAACAGTGCTTTAAATCCACATACTCTGTGCCTGGGCACACTAAGGACCTCTGTTTTAAATGAAGTGCATGGTTCACAAATAATCATAGTATCCTGTTGCAAATGTTAGAGTGCTTCTGAACTGGATACTAGCATTGTTCCTGGGAAAAGAGTTCATTTCCAGTAAGCCTACATTCTCTGCTGTATGTGAGCTTCCCAGAAACAATGAGAAAAGTGCAAGGAAAATCCCAGGCATTCTGTTTATGAAAGTATTTTCACTGTGGGACGTCCTTGCTTAGAGCAGTTTGCATTTCAACACTTACTATGTCTCTCTCACTCCTCTTTTCTTCCTTCCCCTTTTGAGCATGGTTTAGGGAATACTCTGCCTGCAGTCCAAATCACTCATTCCCCCCGCCCCCAATAAAAACCATCAGAGTCAATAGGATCTGTTTTATACAGAGGCCTGTTTTATACCATACTGCCAATTTGTTGTTCCCATACCTCTCCTTCACCTTTTCCCGGTTTATTTAATCTTCGCTTTGTGATACGCACTTCCTGTAACAGTGCATATTATTAAACAAGTTCTTCTCAAGATTCCTCTGTGCCAGTCTTCAATCTCTGGATTTTGCCCTCATCCATGGTAGGAAGCCAACTGCCAGTGCCAAATATGCCAAGACACAGTGATCTTCAGGTGGAAAACATTTGATCTACTGTTACGTAATGTGTGGATGGAAAACCTTGCCACTAGCAAGGACAGGATGAAAAGCAGGAGCTCCTACATTTTGTGCCCAACCGACGATGTTTTTGAGATTTTTGAGAAAGTGTCATGGGCACCATTGCAGATTGGTTGGTTTGTTTAAAAAGAGCAGAGTGATTAGAAATCAGAAGATTAAAGTTACCAGCTACTCCACTCTCTTGCTTTTCTTTCTGAAAGAATCCTTTGAATTCATGCATTGCACAGTAGTATCCTCAGAAGACGAACGGGGAAGAAGGGAGTTGGATAACTAGAACCTTCTTGCTTTCTAACTAGCCAAAGCAAGTTCTGTTAAGCCAAGAACTCTGTCCAAATAGGGATGGTCATGAAGCTTGAGTGGGTGTTGGTTAATGCTGGACAGAGCTGTGATGTAGGAGTGCAGGTCAAGTCACGGTTAATCCCAAGAGGAGCTGAAGAAAACCATTACTTGAGGCAAAACAAATCAGCTTTCCTTTTTCACCCATTTTTCTCAGGGCAACCCAAGTGTTTAGTGCAAGAAACCTCTTGAGCATTTCAAATCCACCTTCCAGATGCAAAGCTGTTAGATGAAACTTGTTGCTGACTTTTATTTATTTGACTGAGTGAAATAGCTTCCCATCTCACAACTGTGGCCAGTATGCAGAGTTAAGCATGCAGAATTAAAAACAACTATGTAAACAATCTGAACCATAATGTCCAAGGTTACAACAAGCCCAGCTGACAAGAAAACATTAACCAGCAGAGTCCTAATGTGGGAAAGAGAGGCTGGAACTAGCTATATCATAGAAACTCTGAAGCCTTTTTATTATTCTGCCCGTGTCAGCTGGCACCTGAATTTGAGCCTCAAATCCCCCCAAAGGAAAGACTTCAAGGGGGGTATGGAAATTGCAACCATGACATTCAAATTGGTAGTAATGTATTTACCCAAGTACTATTACGTGTTTTTTTTCCCTTACACCCCTCCCCTCACCCCCAGCATAGCATTACATACACAATCACATTGGAATGATGGCAGATTGGTATTCCCCAGTATATTTCTTGGTTTTCAGCAATGGATTGTCATGGATTGCTTCCTGATTGTTTAACAATGGTAAACAATTGTAGTAGCCATCTATTACTGAAATAAAATTGGAGGGGGATTTTTTACTAAGAGAAATATTTGTGGGGAAAGTACTGTTTTGAGATTTCGAGCAGATCCTGGGACTCAAGGGGTCTTTAATCGCAAGCATATATCTTTTGTATCAAGCTCCAGTTAAAACTTTTAAGGTCCCAGGGCTGGTCCTTTCCTGAATGTTACTGTACTGTGCAAGAGAAATCAACCTTGCACCTTTGGGTATTGAGAAGCACGAACCCTTCTGTCTTGTATCTAGTACCAAATACTGAAGTTCATCTACTTTACTGTGTGAGAAATAATTTCTTTGAATAACTTTGGTTCAAATGCTTGCTTCTTCTGAGAAAAGATGAAAAAAAAATGGCCTCCCTTCAATCTTTTCACAATGCTGTCACTGTTGCTATGGTAACAAATGTGGTCATCCTCTAGGTGCTCATATAGGAACAAAGTTAAAGACATTAAGTGTTGCTTCCTTTGCTGTTACCTACTTTCAAGGTTTATATTATCATTACAAGTGATAAGGAACCCCAGTGCAGTCTCGAACTGTTTATCCCTGCTAACTCTCCAGAAACTAATAAAATCAGAAGGAATGAAAGTACAGTTTTAACACTGCCTTTATTTTTGTATCACTTGTGAAAGTTTCTGACTAGGAAAAAAGACTTTTACCATGAGGAGATTGAATTTCCTGACTTTTCCTCAGTATACTGATCTCTCTAGGCTGCACCACTATTTGGGATTTTATACAGATTGTCTATAATTAAATAGGCGGCCTTTCAGAAAGCATAGAGGTATACAGCGATAAGCTACTTGTGTACCTTTTGGGAGGTAAGAAGAACAACATAGAATGCTGCAGGCAAGAAATTCGGTTACCATCAAAGAGCCTCTAAAGGCTTCATGTCTGCAGGAGGAGGTGGAGCTGTGTGATCCAGAAACCAGAACAGTTTCAGGAAGAAGACAGGACCAAGAAATAGAGACTCAGAGAAAACAGCCAGTGGGATGTTGTTCATAGGAAGATTGGAAATGAGAAGACAAAGTCAGGACAAATTTCTAGATCAAACAGCCACATGGCACTGGTTGCAGGTTTCTTAGTTTGGTACCCTCAATGCAGAGGTGGTATTCTGCCGGTTCGGACCAGTTCTGGCATACCGGAAGTGGAAATTTTGAGTAGTTTGGAGAACTGGCAAATGCCACCTCTGGCTGGCCCCACCCACTCCCACCCTATCCTCCTTTTCCTATAATCCCTTGTTTTTTAGCTCAGCTGATTTGCAGGGCAGAGTGGATTACCACATCTCAGCTGAGTTAAAAAACATTTCATCTCACCAGCGCTGAGACAGGGCGGTTCTTTTATTGCTGTGTGCACGCGCAGAGTGTGTTTTCATAGAACTGGTAGGAAAGAATTTGAAATCCCACCACTGCCTCAGTGTATATTAAGATGACAGCTCCAGCCCAATTGCATCTTCCATATCTCTAAAGGGCAGCTAGCTGTGTATGACTGTAATGAACATTCCTAATTAGGTTACTATGCTGAAGTAACCCAATAGCCTGAAGATCAGGAAAGAAGAAGCAACTTTATCAGGTAGCCTTATTTATCCCTTAGCCTGGAATTTTCCCTTTTTGATCAGATGATGGTTTTAAATACAAAAATGGCTTTGGACCATATGGGACAGGCAAGAAAGTTATTCTTTTGTGAAACATAATTAACTATCTAAATGGCTGTTTTCATAGAGAACCTTTTCAAAGGGCAGATCAGTAATTGATATTAGCCTGTTCGAGCATGTACATATAATTAAACAAGTTTGGAAAATTGTATTCTCTGGGTCCTGTTCATCTGACGTGCATATTTAAAAGCAAGGTATTGTGAGAAATGAATAAAGCTACAGTGCCTCCAAGAAGAACCCAATAAAGTGGTGATTGTATGACTTGCTATAGGAGCTGGGGTGGCATAGTGGTTAAAGGGCAGTACTGCAGGCTATTTCTGCTGGCTGCCTGCAATTTGGCAGTTCAAATCCAGGCTCAAGGTTGACTCAGCCTTCCATCCTTCCGAGGTGGGTAAAAAGAGGAGGTTAGATTGTTGGGGGCAATATGCTGACTTTGTAAACTGCTTAGAAAGGACTGTAAAAGCACCGTGAAGCGATATATAAGCCTATAAGTGCTATTGCTATCCCTTCACTATTTCTAAGCTTGGACCGTTGAGGGTTTGCATAGCATCCACTGATTTGAAGCTCTCTATTTTGTCTTCCCTACAGCAGGCGAGGAGGAGGAGGAGGAGTCTGGGGAAGAGCGCCTGCCCTCCTGCTTTGATTATGTCATGCATTTCCTGACTGTCTTCTGGAAAGTGCTCTTTGCCTGTGTGCCCCCGACAGAGTATTGCAATGGCTGGGCCTGCTTCCTTGTGTCCATCCTGATCATTGGAATGCTCACTGCCATCATTGGAGATCTGGCCTCCCATTTTGGCTGCACGATTGGCCTCAAGGATTCTGTGACTGCCGTGGTCTTTGTGGCCTTTGGCACTTCAGTCCCAGGTGAGATTGGGACTCTTTGAAATAGGCGGGTGGCACCACAATGGCTTCTAACTACCCCATCACTAACAGCGGTTGCAAGCTATCGTAGGGTTATGTGCAGCTTCCCAGAAACGTCCTACAAAAATGATTCTTAAAAAATAATAATCCAGGATTAGACAAAGAGAATAAGCAGGGGGCACCTGCAAGCCAGTTACAGAATTTTATAAGGAAAAGCAAGAAGAAAAAAATGCGTTTGCCTTACTTAACTCCTTGGAGGGCTGTCAAGTAGGAAAAATAATGAAGAAATATTTTGCATCACCCATCAGCCTTTTTTGGAATTTATGATGCATTGCGCTTTCCAAACATATGTATGCATAAATAAAAAAAGAACATCGGCAAATGATAAAGTGCCTCATACTTTATCTCAAGAAGTCTGTTGCAAATATTCCAGCTGAACGTCTTAACAAAGAAACTGTTAGGAATGATTCTTTTAAAATATTTCGGGTAGGACTTGTTTGTGGAGTAGGGAACATTTCAGTATCTTCCTTCTTTGCACAAAATTAACAGCCTTGATTGTGCATATTAGTACCATAGTTTATACATAAGCTACTTCCATCAAACAGGTTTCTAATTATTTTCATTCTCGTGCTAAAAAAAACCAACAACTTTAAGGTATTTTGTGCTAAATGATAACATATAAACACAGCTATCATTTAACAAACCCTGTTGCTACTAAGACTAAATGCTACATCTAATTTCCATAGTCAAGACAGCCAAAAGCCATGGGACACAGTCCAGAATCAATGTAGTCCTTTTGTCCTTTGCTCCACTGAATAAAAATAGGGTTGCCCAGGCTGCCAAATACTGTTCTTCAGCACCATCTGTGGTCTCACTTGCTGTCTTGCTGATTTTGACACCACCCACTCCTGCAGAAACATCTGTTTCTTTTTTAAAAATATGATTTGATTAAATTTCAAACTGTGAATAAAAAGTAAGCAAACCAGAAAAAAGAAGTGCCAAAAAGAAGAAAAAAATATAGATGTAATATAGACGATTGTTAATTTAGAGAGTACAAGCTGGTGTATTTTATTTTTTTACCTATATCTGTACCAAAGAAAGTTGGAAGCCACATACTCATCCCTCTGCAAACACGTCTAGTGTCCATCTTCAGTTTACCTATCAAGTCTTTCTGGGTGTAAATGGAAGTGTGAGAAGGAAACATTTGCATGTATGGTTCTCCTTTGGAGTACAACACATAAAAGCGGGGAGGTGGTTATCATGACTGGAGCCTCTTCAGGCATTCATCTCAACCAGTGTTCCTCAACCTTGGCTACTTGAAGATGTGTAGAGGCTGTGGAATTCTGACAACATCTTCAAGATGCAAAGCTGAGAAACACGGATCTTAACAAATGAACAAATAAAGGAACCCCAGAGGCCTTGAAAGTGGGTGGAGGAAAGATATGTATGCTATTCCTGATTCCACTTAACTAATCTCCCCAGATTTCACGTTTGATTTCACGTTTCATGGTTAGTTTTGCTTGAGTGGAACAGAATAAGATCCCCAGCTGAATAGGGACAAGCAGGTGTGAATGCAGGGGTGCAGCTCTCCATTGGAATTCTTGGAGACTTGTAATGGAGCCAGTGTACATATCCCACCAACCAGATTGGGAAAGATTAAGTTAAGAACTTGTTCCCTTAATGAGATATCACTGGTGGGATTGATTGGACTGAGTAGTCTTCAGCACATCTCTTTCAGGTGAGCTGTCACCTGAGCACAGCAAATCACCACTTTAATGCTGTTGGCCCTTTCTTTTTCTCCCCTAAAAGTCCCCATCTTCTTCATGGCAGGACCACGTTTGTCTTCTTTGTCTTGGGAAGAGACTGCTTGAACTGCTACTCATACATTGGGTTTTTTTTTCCCCTTCCAGATACTTTTGCTAGCAAAGCAGCCGCTGTTCAAGACATCCATGCAGATGCTTCCATTGGCAACGTCACAGGCAGCAACGCAGTCAACGTCTTCTTGGGCATTGGACTGGCATGGTCAGTAGCTGCCATCTACTGGGCTTCTCAAGGAGAAGAGTTCCATGTGTCAGCCGGCACGCTTGCCTTCTCTGTGACACTGTTCACCATTTTTGCTTTTGTCTGCATCAGCGTGCTATTGTACCGAAGACGGCCTCATTTTGGAGGAGAACTAGGAGGCCCTAAAGGGTGCAGACTTGCCACAACTTTGCTTTTTGTGAGTCTGTGGCTATTGTACATTTTATTTGCTACCCTGGAGGCCTATTGCTACATCAAGGGGTTCTAAGTCATGGAGAGATTTCAAGCCAGAAGGGAGGCCTTCTCCTCCTCTGATACCTCATTGAACACCAATCCTAAGAGTGTTGGCTGACCAGGAGTAGCCGCTCACTATCAATTTTCCAGAACTGCCCAGGTTCAAGAAAGGCAAAATTATCATTATAAAAAGCAAAGACATATATTAAAATAAAGCCAACAGCATCAATCATTCAGTAAAATCAGAAACATCAAGAGTTCCTGAAGTACCCATTTGTTGAATTCTGCTGTAAGACTCCACGATGTTAATTCTTCCACTTTACGAAATATCATATATTCAGATAACGCTCTTACAAAGCATTGGGGTGGGTGTTGTTGTTTTTTAAATTTGGGGAGGGTGAATCTTACCTGATCTATTTTCCTTTTTTAACACAAAGAAAGGGGCTGAAAAAAAATGCAGGTTCAACTTTCATGCCACATCAGAACTGGAGTTGAAAATGCTCTATATTTTTTACTCTATATGAACATTTAATTATCATTTTTCACTTTGTTTTAGAGTTATAGTGCTACTGTATTTTAAGTGCAAACATAATCCATATAGACAAGACACCAACACTATGGACACACAGACGAAAACTACAGTTGAAAACTGGAGCATGTAGCAAGTAATACACCTCCCTTGGCTACCAAAAAAAAAAAAGGAAAAAAGGAAAAAGGAGAACAAACTGTAAAGATACTCTATGTAATGTGTATATTTTGAATATGGCAAATCTCTTTGTGTAATTAACATAAAAGCTTTTAGCACTGCAGAATTAAATATATATAAATATATATAGTTATTTATACACAGCAAATAAATCAATGCAAAGGAAAAACTGCAGTGTGAAAAATACAAGCAAAAGAAAACCAGCACAAGTTTATTACTATTGTCATTATCATCATCACCATTGTCGTCATCAACTTCATCATCTATTTGTTCCGTATGTGGAAAAAGAAGATTCTTTTTTAAATAGAGAATAATTTATGTAAATATCATTTTCACACTTTTTGAGTGTTAAAATGTCACTCAAAATCCTTCAAGAATTACCGGTAAATTGTTTTGCTTTGACTTTGTTCTTAAAAACACTAAAGTTTTTAAAAAGTTATGGTAATATCTCTATAAGTTTTGTCAGGTTGGATAATGGAATCCCTCTTTAACAAAAGTTGTTTTAAAAAAGCTGCGTTCAAATCTAATACTAATCTAATACTAAATCATAGTTTGATGTTAACTTGAGCTCTGGTGGCACAGTAGTTAGAATGCAGTATTACAGACTAATTCTGCCAACTGACAGGAGTTTGATCCTACCAGAGTCAAGGTTAACTCAGCCTTTCATCCAGTGGTGGGATTCACAAATTTTTACTACCAGTTCTGTGGGCGTGACTTGATGGGCATGGCAGGGGAAGGATACTGTAAAATCTCAGTCAGAGGTGGTATTTGCCAGTTCTCTGAACTACTTAAAATTTCTGCTACCAGTTCTCCAGAACTGGTCAGAACCTGCTGAATATACCACCTCTGCTTCCATCCTTCCAAGGTCAGTAAAATGAGGACCCAGACTGTTAAGGGCAATATGCTGACTCCATAAGAGGGTACCGTAAAGCAGTACGAAGCAGTATATAAGTCTTAAGTGCTATTGCTATTGCTAAGTCTCCTGATCATGTAGAAAGAGCACATCCCTCCCTTTTCTTCCTCCAATGTGATTACAAACAGGAAATTGAAAAACATCTACTGTCAGTTAATTATTATCTTAATGGGACAAATCAAAATTTAGTGGAACCATGCCTATCCAAAGAAGCTAACTCGAATGCACTTATGGTTTGTTCAGGTGATAAGAATAGAGAAAGATGTTATGTGTAAATTATATTTTAATAGATATGCAGTGAAGATGTCTGGTTGTGATTGTCCATTACCAACATTAGCCAAGAATGAAAGTAAATTATGAAACAGCTGCAATGCGTTATTACTAATCTATTTGCCACTGCTTGGAGTTCCAATGACATAATTTATGAACCCCTTTCAAGATACAGGACAATCTTTCAGATGATGCTACTAGAGAGTCACTGCACTTTCTTGTAAAAATGATCATCAATCTTGAGGGTTTGCAGAGGGATCTCCATTTTTTTTTTCCTAAAGAAAACACTGGTGATAATTTTCCAGATAAGATGATGTGTCCATTTTACTTACAGTGCAAGTGTCTTCTTGTTTCTTTTATGTCCCTGCTTCTTGGCCTCCACAAGACTGAAATGTTATGATCGTAATGGCCACCATTAATCATATGTATAACTTTCTGGTAAAGAAGCGCCTTTTGATTTTTTTTCCAACTCTGTGTGTGTGTGTGTGTGTGTGTGTCTGTCTGTGTGTGTGTGTGTGTGTCTTTCAAAAACTGCAGACTTAAATATAGAATTGATACTAAAAATTATATTTGTTTCTGCACTCTCTCACATGCTTATGGACACCAATCCATTCCTTAAGTGCAAGGAGCAAATGGAGAGCTATATTTTTTATTTAAGAAAAATATTTCTTTTTCATCCAGAAATACAAAGGTTGCAAAGGAACTTTTTTTTCCTTAGATTTTTAACTCCTTGGCAAGTGAACAAGAAAAGACAAGTATCTGTATTTTGTACCTTTTTTTATAAGTTTTTTTAAAAAGCAGAAACAAAGCTTATAAGCATTTGAGACTAATCCTATATAGGGGCAGTGACCCAAAGAATACATTCCTGAGCATGGAAATAGATGCAAAGTAATTTCAAAGAGTTTTGACACTGATTAAAAAGGAATATTTATTTCCATTTAAAGCCAGAGTTTTTATGCCAACCGTACTCCGTTTTTTTGCCTTATTCCATGTAAAAAAGGAATCCCTGCGGATTTTATTGCACTAGTTGTTGCTGACTATAGAGGGCAGTACTCATCTCCATTTCAGGGACTGTTGAGCCAGCGCTGTCTGAGGATGTTTCCACAGTGATGTGGCCAGCATGAAGTCACAGAGCGCTCTTGCCTTCCCAACGAAGTGGTACCTATTTATCTACTTGCATTTGCATGATTTCAAATTGCTTAGATTGGCAGGAGTTAGGGCAAGGACAGGAGTTCGCCCCATCATATGACATCTGTGTCTCGAACCTGGACTGTCGGCTTTCCAACCAACAAGCACACCATCTAAACCCCTGAGCTATCGTTCTACCTCCTATTCCATAAATATAGGCAAAACTGATTCTCTCAACCTTCAAGTTGGGGGAGAAATGTCATCCCCTAAGAAATTGCTTAAAACAAGAAAGACTAGTTTCAAACAAATGTGTGGCTCATCGGTGGTATTCAGTTGGATTGCCACGGATTGGGCGAACCGGTAGCAAGAATTTGGCATGGGTCGCCGAACCGGTAATACGTTCTGGCTGGCCATGCCCCCCACCCAGTCACCCTCCCGCCCGATGCTCGCTCACCCCGCCCACCTGCCTGACATTCACCTAAGGTATTCCTTTTTTTCCCCCTCCCAATAATCAGATGTAGATAAGATCAGCTATGCCAGGATTCCCCTTGCTGAGGCCCAGGAGGGCAAAAAATGGAGGGAGGAGCTCAGCCCCTCCTCCATTTTTTGCTTTCCAGAGCCCCAGGGGAGCCATAGGGGAGCAAAAATGCCCCTCCCGAGTCTCTTCTGAGGCTAGGAAGCTCCCAAAATGGAGTTTGGAGGGGTGTTGCATGCCCCTCCCATGCTCTGTTCCTTTCTTCCTGAGCCCTAGAGGAGCCTTAGGGGAGCCCGCCAGAGGCTCCTCTGTGGCTAAGAAGCTCCCAAAAATGGGTGGGGGCTGCAAAAAAAAGCCACACCCACCCAGTCACATGGTCACGCCCACCAAGCCACGCCCACAGGGCTAGCAGTAAAAGTTTTTGAAAGCCACCACTGGTATGGCTCTTCTCAATGATTATGTGAGACATATAGGATGTGCCACATCACCGAAGCATGATGTCTCACGCTGTGGTTCTTCACAGTTGCAGATACCTGTGTCTGATGGCATAAGCAGGATTCCCTTTGGGTAGAATCACTTTGTGCCCAACACAGGCATTGTTATCCTTAAGCCAGGTATATTTTGCAGGGTGGCGGGAATTGCTTTCCCCATCTTTCATTTGCTTGTTACAACCTATTTTAATGTTACCTGCTTGAATTCTTCAGGATAGGGAGGAGGCAGATCTGAAATCTATTTTAATAAATCTCTTGGTTCCTCCCGTACAAAACATCCTGTACAAATCCTTGACTTGATAAATTATTACCTCTTCTGGATATAAAAAGAAGAAGGGAGAGTGATAGAATTTTTTAAAAGATCAGAAATTTAGAGAGTTGTCATAGTCAGCTAGAATCAGTGTGATTTAATGATATGTTGTTGCAGCTTACCTTAATACTAATGATCTTTTCACACACACACACACACACCCAAAAAAGTTCTGTCCTTCCTTTGATTTTATTTTTTCATCTATGTCCTTGGGTTTTATTTGTCACATTTGTGTTCTACCTTTCCCCCAAAGAAGCCCAGGACAATACAAATGAAGCCTTGTTTTATCCTTACATCCTTGCAGTGACCTTGCAAGGAGAAGTTAGGCTGAACCGTCTGCGTGGTTGCTAAGCATTGCATTTGGGCTTGCAGTCCAGTTTCACAAGGCATTTGTTCAGTGCAGTAAATATTGTTGTCTTTCCTGAGAGGAAGATAGGAAGTTTCAGCTCACAGCTCTTAATGATGAGCTCTATACAGGTCTACTGATTTATTTAAATAGGTTTTTCGGTCATCAAGGTTTTCAGGTGAGTTTTACTTGATTCTGCCTATGTCGTCCATTCCTGGTTGATAATGGTTCTGGTACAATCAAGCCTGTTAACTTTATCTACATGGGTGGTTTCAACCACATTCCTCTCTCCTTCTTCATGAAGACCGCTTTGGGGTAGGGAGAGCTGATGGCAATGGTGGGATTCAGCCAGTTCGCACCACTTCGGGAGAACCAGTTGTTAACTTTCTGAACTG